GTTGTTATTGAAACACAAAATTGTTTTGTTTTACCCCACAGGGGACTAGGATGAATATCCCGGGTCCCCTTTCAAGTCTTTCCCCTGGCTTAGTCGGTGAGAGTTGCCTTTACGGTATTGAGTTAATAATTCGTTGTTACGTTAATACTAGTTCTAAGATATACAGACGTAAATGCAATGTATTACAATAAAAGAATGTCCGAATTTCATATCTATTATTTTTTCACTTATTGTTTGTACATTTAGCAATAAAGTCTACTAAATTTGAAATGCTGTACGTATGCTAGCGAGTAGTCGTATGGGTGCAATTATTATGTTTTGAGAATAAGTACAACCAGGTACCGAGCCCTTCAACCACAGATAAAAGATAGACAATGTTTACTTACGATACAGTTGATCTACAGAATAAATTGCTTAAAACAATTGTAGTAAGTAGAACTGCCAAAACGTTCATTGTAAAGAGTGCTATTCGATGTGCTTGTTGAATCATGCGCGTTTGTTTGAAAACTGTTTGGTGTTGAATAGAACGAACTAACACAAGTTGGGACCTAGTTCGCCATTGATTTGCGTTTAATCAATACAGTTACTTGGAAACAATAAAGATAAGTAAAGATAACCTTGGTAACTATATAGACATTATATGGATCAAGCATGGTGGAAGATCAAGTCTATTATAATCAATAATTTCATCACACTTGAATAGTTTGAACGAGGGCGTTGGTCAGTGCGAGTGTTGGGGAAAATTATTGATGGTTGCCATGACGAATGTTCTGACCATGACGACTTTATTGGATATTTGATAGATATGTAAAAACACAATTTAAATGAAGCATATCAACATTAATAAATCAATCGATCAATTTGAGTCATTTTGATAAGAAAATAACAACTTCTGATCGCGAAGTACAGTAAGACAATAGGAGAGAGTCTATATAATTTGGCATGGATGGTGTTTTATTGCACTTCTAACATAACACATTGTTAAAACCCTGTCCAGACTATCAGAATTTATTTGACAAAAAACATGTGACATGCCTAAATATGGTCATGATGACATCACATCATGACCATATTTGGGTACATCATGACTATATATGGGTATACATAAGTTGAAAATATTGATAGGCCGGACAGAGCTTTATAATATGCGTCGATAAAATACACTTACAACCAAACATACTATACTTGTTATACATTGATTAACACCTAAAACGTCTGATAACTTCTCAGACCTCCATTCACATTATTGCCTATGATACCAATACCTACAAAACACAATAACCATAATACAGAAAGTACACAAACAGTACGGAGAAGCACGTGAATCTCTCAACAAAATATTACGTACTTATACCTGTATTGATTTTGATATATCTATACTTATTAAATACAAGCACAAACAAATAAGGCTACAGTATGTATAATAATACTGTTACTGTTTTATATACATATATATACATGTACATATATATATATATACGTATATATATATATATGTATGTATATATATATATGTAGGCCTATATATATATAGTGTTGTCCGAAAGCTCTGGTTCTATTTATGGCTGTTTACTTACGTTTACTTTTTAGCTGTTGCTTATCATTTTTGTATCTCTACTGAGATCCAGCCATTGTTTTCCACAGCACTGTTGTTTTTCAGTATTTTGCCTTTTATCTATATATATATATATATATATATATA